AGCCGGCCCGGGCGTGTGTGTGAATGCGACGCGGTGACTGTGCAGTCACACCAACAGGCGGCGAAGAGAGAAAAGTGGCCAGTGGTTGCCGGGTGGGGACCAAGAGCTGTCCGTGGAAGTCGGGGCGCAGCCTCCGGGCCAGGAGGACTCGGCGCTGAGGCCGAAACTCGCGCGGTGACGGGGCGCTGTGCCCAGGGCCGCTCGGGAGCCTCCGGCGCCCACCACAGCGCGGTCGCGCGAGGCGATGGTAGTTTGATGACCCCGACTGTCGTCCCCGTGCCTGGCTTCCGTGGCCAGGTCATCCGCTGGCGTGCTGAGTGTGCGCAGCTTTGCCCACGGTGCCTCAGCCAGCTGGGGTGGAAATCGCAGAAACCAGGGTTTGCTCTTGACGCTGCTGTTTTCTATTTCGTTGAATCCTTCTGTCATCCCGCTGTTTAATCCTCTCCTCCTCTTGTAACCTCCCCGAATCAGTTTCATTCTTTGACTTCTTAAGCGACTTTTACCTTGTAAGAATAGAGACCCAGAGAATTCCCCGACACGATTTAGCCACGCCCCCCCAGTCGGGCTGGGCCCTTTCTCCGTCAGAATACTTTCCAGCCTCCCTGTGGTTTTCCTTCAGCGTGTGGGTTACTTGCTGTGCCGCTCACTCCCAGATACTCAGGGTCATGCTAGCTAGACTCACTGCTGACTCTGCTGGCCTGTCAGAGCGTGGCTGGATCCCACCTCTCCCGAGCCCGGCGCTCTGGGCTCCGCACACACGAGGGGCGGGCACCGGCCGGCGCTGGCGGCCTCCACCTGTCGGCTAGAGCCGGTGGCTACGTCGTCGCCAGCTTCAATTCTCCCGGCCTGCTGCTCTTCCTGCCCCCCGGAGGGACGCATCGCCCGACTCTGGTTTTAGAGCTGCTTTCCCTTCTTTTTCCCATTCAGCGTTTGCCTGATCTGCTGTGCAGTTTGTTACCAAGTGCGTGGACGCCCGGGATGCCCGTGTTCGTCATGGACAGGCCCTTTGTCATGCAAACATCCCCGGACCTTACTGCTGTAGGGTCCCTTTTATACCAGCTGAACTGCACTTTTCTTGCCGCTTGCCTGTCTTTGGGAATCTCCTTTTCCCAACATTTCTTTTTTTTTTTTAAGATTTATTTGTGTGTTTAAGGACTGGGGTGCGGGCCAGAGGTGTGGGTGGGTGGGAGGACCCCCCAGAGACAGAGCGGGGAGCAGAACAGGCAGATGGATGAAGCCCACTGCTGAGGGGGCAGCGGGGAGACAGGCGGGGTCTGCTGCGCCCTGGGGTCCCTCCCTGGGGGGGCGGGGCCGCCCTCTGCAGTGGCCGCAGGCAGCTCCTAGAGCTGTGATTTGTCCCGTTGCGCCTCCTGGAGCACCCCTTTGCCCTGAGTTTAAAGTGTCTCTTCGGACGCGGCGAGTGGGTTTGCTTACTGAGCTTGGATACCCTTGCTGAGTGCATTTGCGTTGCCTGCAACTGCTCATTACCTCAGCGGGACGGGCGCTGCTCGCCTGGGGGCTCGTGCAGACCGAGTACCCGGGAGCTTAGTCGGCCGGGCACGGCGCTCGGGACGTCACGGCAGCTGTGTGACTCGGAGACGCGTAAAGCGAAGCGGTCGTGGCCTGGTGGACCCGTGCCCTGGTCACGCACAGGCACATCGCTGGACCCACCCACGGCAGCCGTGGGCGCCGAGGGCAGCCCCGCTGCCCCCACGACCCGTCGGCCTTGCTAT